ATTTAAACAATATAAATAGTCCAACATCAAAAACATTGCGTGCTATAGTCTTTACCAGCTCTGATCTGTAAATATGCATACTATATTCAAAGGCTTTTATGACTTTTTAAACACTCTGTGGCCCATAGTCAATCAACAATCAAAAAGAAAGAGAGAGAAACACTCATGAGAATGTAACAAATTAACTGTGAAGACTTCCCTTGGAGAGACTACGTTCTCAGTTATAATAAAATATAGATAATAATTACCACAGTTAAACATACTATTTCATGATGAGAAATACTTAAATATAAGTGTGGTTTTTTTTTCATCAGAATAGGTTCTCAAAAAAAAAAAAAAAAAAGGAATAGGTTCTCCATTATTGAGAAATTATTCCTAAACAGAGGAATAGTTGGTTATTTGTTAAATTCAAATTAGTATTAATGACTTAATTTTATTTTTGGTACACTCCTTTTTTTTTCTTTTTCTTTTTTTAATATATTTTATTGATTTTTTACAGAAAGGAAGGGAGAGAGATAAAGAGCCAGAAATGTCGATGAGAGAAAAACATCAACCAGCTGCCTCCTGCACACCCCCTACCAGGGATATGCCCGCAACCAATGTACATGCCCTTGATCAGAATCGAACCTGGGACCTTCCAGTCCATAGACCGATGCTCTACCACTGAGCCAAACCAGCTTCGTCTTGGTACACTACTTTTTAAAAAGTAAAGTAGTACAACATTCTTGCCTACCATTAATATACCTCAAAGGTAATCATTGCACTATATGTATATGACATCATCCCATTGAACAACTTAAATATATAATTTCATTTGTCAATTATTTCTCAATTAAAATGTTTTAATTTAAAAATAGTACCATAAAGGAGGAGTGTTAAAATATACCCATCAGTGTTAAAGTTATTCTGGCTATTTAGGAAACAGAGCCATGGTACATCATAAACTAAGCGAAGTACTGAAAGTATTCTTTCAAGATTCTCACAGTTTGAATTTTAATAAAGCAAGACAGTGCTTTACTTGGAGTAGGCATAGAAACCAATTGTATTATTTACTTTTTAACAGCAGTAAAAGTTGATAGATTCTTAGGGGGCTTGATTCCTTGTAGCCACTAATGCCAGGAAATATTCCTTCAACAACCATCATCTCTTAAATAAGCTGTCCACTCTAGAACCTCAACTGAGATGAAAAAGAGAATTACAGTAAGTTAAGAAAAGTCTACTTACTATATAATATATCCAAAGCAGGCATTTTTTTAAAAGTCAATATATAATTTGATTGCCTCTGAGACACTGTATTTTACATATTCTCAATTTACATGTCCTTTAACTTATATTAAGGATGAATTTTTAAAGGTGACTTGTAATGCTTTCCTACGGCTTTCAATATATCTAAAGAATATTAAAAAAATAACTTAAGGAATAAATGTATATTGAAGTTGATGGTGAGTTTTGCAACACAAATAGTAACCATTTCTTTTATTTATTTATTTTATCTATTTTTTAAAAATATATTTTATTGATTTTTCACAGAGAGAAAGGGAGAGGAATAGAGAGCTAGAAACATCAATGTGAGAGAAACATCAATCAGCTGCCTCCTGCACACCCACTACTGGGGATGTGCCCACAACCAAGGTACATGCCCTTGACCAGAATTGAACCTGGGGCCTTTCAGTCCGCAGGCCGACGCTCTATCCACTGAGCCAAACCGGTCTTGGCAGTAGTAACCATTTCTTAAAACAACTTTCAAAATGAGCCTCAGGTTTTTTGTTCCTTTGCTTTATCTAAAGTCAAATAATTATACCCAAAAAATAACAAGCTGGTTCTAGTTACTATACTTATTTTTAAATGTGTTGACTTCTCCATATCTTTAGGTTAAATTTTTATTTTTCCTAACATGGGAATTAAAATATCTATAGCCATTTTTATCCAAATAACAAAATATATTAATAATTTCTAAGATATAAAAGTTCTCTGTCTATATAATCATATTTTTATATACTTAACAGGGCAACAAAACTTTTTTCCACAGAGCAATCCTAGTATAAAGTGGTCAAAATTATTTGGAAGTTTCTTCTCTATTAATACGTATTCTTTGTAAACTGGCATTTGGTTTTATAATTTCTCTGTTTCACATGGAGGAAATTGAGAAAATGAGTCATCAATGACAGGGCTTCTAGTCTTCATTCATCTACTCTCCTATAACACTTTCTATCCATGCTCTTTATTCCTAAAGCCTTATTATATCTGATAGATATTTACATCACATATATTCATCACATTAATTTTAAAAATCACTCTGTTAAATATGATGATAAATTGTACTATCCAATAAAACATTTTTCAAAACATTTTTTCATATATAATTCAAAAGAAGACATATTCAAACTCTCATCAAGAAGTTACTTGTCCAATAATGCTGGCTGTGTAAAACAGTCACATAGCAAAAGGTAAGGATTAATTCTAGTATTAATTATGCTGAAGTATCCAAAGTTTTTTTTTCCCCCTAAGTAAAATTAATTATATTTTATGGGACTAAAGCACTAAATAGAAGTATGTCAGCAAACCTTTCACAAAAGAAGTTCACAGTTCCTTCTTTCTGTGCCTTTATTTAAAGTGAATATTCAATTCCATTACTTAAGATGTCAATGCTGATACAGAACAGTTAAAAGTATATTCACGCAGTACAGATTTCAAGCACTGCCTCATAACCATGGACTTCCAGCTGAAATGGAACAAAACAAAAACAAAAACAAAAACAAAAAGAACATCCTCAAAGGCACAACAATAGTATTAAGCTAGTGATTCCTAAAAAGGGGAAAGAAAAAAAAATGTCAAGTATGAGTGGGATGGATGGTCTAAATAAGGATTGCCTATACTATACTCTGATTTGAGGTCACACTGTCAGCATGCATTTTAGTATGTTAATGATAAGCAACAGGTAGTTAATGGGAAAAAGAAAGCCCTTATCTTCTCTATGCCCTCTGGAAGTCACCCTTACACAAATATAATTACCGTACTAAAATAAACCATCATTACAATTTCATATTTTGCATGTGCATCCAAACAGATATTTGCCAAAAATATTTCAGTAAATCCCTCACTTAAAAATGTAATTGTGATGAATTTTCCCCCAAGGGTCACATATAAATAACTGAAAATACTATAGCAATAAACAGTTTAGTCTGTCTTTATATAAGTTGGCTGAAGAACTCCTAGAATATTTATTCATTCAGGCAGCTCAGCTTGCCTCAGTAGTTCAAATCAAACACATTTTCAAACTTCCCAAGTATAGACCGGTTGCTCTTAATAATTCAATAAAGTAATTTGAATAAAGTCAGAATACTAAGATATTTCAGATTTAAAGTATAAATTTAGAGATGAAAGTCTAAATTTCATTTTTAAAATATTTTAACACAACCATTAAGAAATGCAAAGCCATACGTGAAGTGAAGCATTGTTCAAATACTGAGAGAATGTCACTAATTTTTCCAAGTGAGGGCATGATAAAGGGAAATTTTTCCCCAGGTTTAGAAATAATCTCATTTGTTTGCTTGACTTTTATTTATTTATTTTTTATTTTTTATACTCAATATTAGCATAAACAGAAATAAAACAAACGTGTGGGAGGTTGCTTTTATAAGAGCACTCATCTAGCAAAATGTTCAAGTCTCGCTCATAAAGCATGTAAGGAAAGCCCTCCATTAAGTATGATCATCATTACCGTTTTTCATCCCCATACCCATGCCTGATGTTAATGAGCTACATCTAATTTTAAAGTTTAAAAAAAATAGTGTTTCAGGAACCCATGTGCCAGAATCAGCTAACACGTTAGGTTTGGCTGATCAGCTCTTCCCCGTGAGGGGTGTCAGGAGAAGGGGAAGAGGAGCCGAGATGAAAACCAGTCTCAGCTCCCATTGGTTTTTCCCAGATCCTGACAGTGTGAGAACTGATGAGAGAAGTTAAGTCACCGGCACGCAGTGCAACACTGCAGAGGGACTCCGGGAGGAATGCTCTCAGGCTTCGCAGAGAGGGTGGGCAGGGTGCCTGTGACTCTCTCCCGCCCCCGCTCAGGCTTTGGGGTCTCCAGGGCGGGCTGGGGGCGGTCCTCCCCTCCTCCCGGGACAGCGGATGGAGCGCGTGGAGGGGATCCGCGCTCTGGACGCGGCACCAGCTCTCAGGCTGCTTCATTCCCATCAGGTGGGGAAACCGCTGATCTGACCATCAGAGTCCCGGACCCCAAGGCAAACAAGCCTCTCCACTCCGGCCCCAGAACTCGCCAGGAAACTCCCCCAAACCCTCTACCCTTTAACCCTTTCGGTGCTGCCACCTGCGGGCTTGGCTTCCACGCCCCCTCCTCCCCCCCCCCCCCCACTCCCCTCACCCCGCCGATTTTCCGAGGTTCCTTTTGGGCTAAAAGGCAATCGGAACAGGTTCTGTCTTAAAGTGCATGCCGAGGGACCCATCGGATCAGCAATTTTGTGCAACCGGGAGCAGCAGCTCAACTTCTGCAGACGGGTGCCTCCCCACAGCCCCCCTCCCGCCCTCTGAAGAGCGGGCATTTATACATCTTCCGTCTCCCTCCCTCCTCCCTCCGATTCCTTCATGGACCATAGGTCACGGGATGGATCCCAGCGACTTTCGCGGCCACACAGCGCCCAGCACCGCTGCCGGGCTCCCGGGGCGAGCAGCGCCGCGGAAAAGTTGAGCAGGGCGAGCGGCACTTTGCAAAGCCCCGGAGGCCGGAGGGAGCGGCGGGGGCGGGGAGGTGGGGACCCGGCGGGACCGGACCCCCCTCCGGGGCTGCGGGCCCGCAAGTCCCTCCGCTGCGCCAGGCGGGAGGGGGCGGCGGAGCGGCCACAACTTCCCCGCCGGCCGCCGGCCCCGCGGCGGCTCCCAGACGCCGCGCCCGCTGCGGCCCTGGCCCGGGCCGTCCCCTCCCCGGGGAGGGAGGGATGGGGCGCCCGGGGCGGGGCGGGGGATGGATGGGGCGCAGCACTTACGTCTCGGAATTTGTTCCACTGGCCGACCTCCTTGTCGTACTGGGAGATGGTGGTGAGCCATTGTTTATCATCCAGGAAATTGCCGCCGTCCGAGCGCCCCCCGGCCGCCGCCGCGGCCGCCGCGGCCGCCAGAGCCTGGCCGCACCAGGCGGCCGCGCACACACACAGCACGGCCGGCACCCGGAGCATCTGGGGAGGGAGACAGCGGGAGGGAGGGGACGGAGTCAGGCCGGGGGCACGGAGCCGGGGGGAGCCTGGGGAGCGTGCAGCGGCAAGGACGGGGACTGGGGGGACAGGCAGGGGCTGGCTTTCCCCCCAAACCCGGCGGCACTCTCGGACGCAGACCCGCAGACCCCGGGGAGGGGGGGGGGTGGAAGGGAGGGAGCCCGAGCCCGGGGAAGGATGCTTCCAGGCACATCACCTTGCTGGGAGCCCGCGCGGTGCCCGCAGCTCCGGCTGGAAAGGCGGCGGCGCTCGGCCAACGCGCGGGTCTCGGGAGCCGCCGCTCGCGCCGCCGTCTGGAGCGGCCACTCCGCTCCGCGTCCCCGCTCCCCCCGCGCGCGGCGCTCCGCTCGCTCCGGTTGGCTCACCCCCTCCCGCCCCCAGCCTTTTTTTTTTTTTTCCCCCTCCCTCCCCTCTTCCACCTCCTCCTATCCTACCTTCCCCTCTCCCTCTGGATGGGAGCGGAGCTGCAGTTAACTCCGGATGCGCCACTGGCTGGCTGGAGCCAGAGGATGCGCTGGCTCTGCGCCTGAGAATCCTTAGCAGCTTTCCAACCTCCCCCGCCCGGAGAGCTCCTGGGGTTCGCACGCAGACCGGCCGCTCGCTCTGCCCCTGGGTTTATGGAACGCGAGGCGCGCTGCGCCTCTTGTAATTGCCTTGGCTCTGCATTTTGCAGGTCAGGTCTGGAGAAAACTTTATGCATCACCAAGACCAAAAGACCAAAGAATCCCCTGGAGTTATCTCCTATTAGAGGGTAGAATCTTGAGAGAGAGAGACAAAGAGAGAGAGAGAGAGAGAGAGAGAGAGAGAGAGAGAGAGAGAGAGAGAGAACCAGGTAGGGCTTTTGAGTGCACATAAATCTCCCAACTACCATTAGATATTGTCCCTGAATACAAATTCCTGGGTCACTGTATTTTACGTTCTAGTATCTGAATCAGAAATTTTAAAAGCCCAATCTGTGTCTCCCTCCTGCAAAATGGAAGAGAGTTTTGAAGACCTAATACTAATTTTGCCCTCCAAACTCCAATTATGACAGAATACTGGGCTCTTTACTGTTTTTCCATATAGTATTCTAAATAAATTGGAAGGAAATCCGTGATTAGCCCCCTGTAAAGAAAATCTATTCCTCAGACTTAGAGGATTTTGGTGAAGTAATTATTATATGCAAATCAAGAGATTTATGGAGGCTAACAACTGCAATAACTTAATGTATTTCTATTAAATTATTAAAGATTATTTTAACCAAAACAACAGCTCCCAAAGTTATGACCTTTGAAATGTTCATGTAGCTTCCACACATCAGAAGCTGTTTGAATAGCAGCAGTACTTTGTCATATTTTCCATGTCAATCTCATAACACCTGTGTAATGTTTTTCAAACTATATTAAAATGGGAATTGAACACAATGATTACTTAGTATTGGTTTCTAATTTTTAAATGTAGGGTTTCAAAGTAAATCTGTAATATGTAAAATAAATAAAAGAAAAAAACTGCCATTAAAAAAACACACAAAAAAAACCTCAGATATTTCTCTCGTTTCCATTGTGGTGAATGATGGAGGTGGGGGGGAGGGGCAGATTGAACAAATACCAGAATTTATAATTACAATTCATAGAAGTCCTGACTGATGTAAACACATGTCAGATCTCAGAGCTTGAACTTAGACTTACAAACCAGGAGATCCCAGTTCTATTCTGGATCAGAACACTTTCCTGGGTTGGGAGGCAAAAGGAGGGGCTCCAGTCCCCAGTGGGGGGCATGCAGGAGGCAGCCTATCAGGGATTCTCTCTCTTCATTGGTGTTACTCTCTCTCTCCTTCTCCCTTCCTCTCTGAAATAAATAAAATATATATTTTAAAAGAATACTGAAATGTATTATTCTCCAAAGATATTTATTTTGGCCTAGTGAGGGATAGACATGCCATGTACTTTAGCCTAGTCTAATTCTTAATTAGAATATCATAGACAATCATTAGGAGGTCCATCCTTCACTTTCACCTCTTCCTGCTTTCGGTCCTTCATCCCTCCACATCCCCAGCCAAACCTCTTTAACTCAAATTTTGAAGAAGTCGTTTCCATTCAGTCCAATGAGAATATTTTTAAATGCTTAAAAACCTCCTTTTTTTAAAACTTAAATCTGATGCTTAAAGTACAGAAATTGTGCCTTAGATGTCACTCTGTTGCACAGCAAGTCAGCAATTGCAAAATTCAACATGACCTTCTCATCTTGGTAAGCTACCTTTGGAAAAGATGTATTTGACACAGACTATTTGATGAGAGATGATACACCAACACTTTCCAGCTTGGGCATCCATCATTATTTTAGCCTAGCAAATGTCATTTCAGAATAACATAATCACCTTTAGACTTTAGGGAGCATATCTACTTATTTTTATCCCTCAGTTTACACCAAAATGCATCCATCTCACTGGTGAACCTGACATGTTCATAGAAACTCTCCACCTCTAGCTTTTATTGGCGAGTTCCCAGAATGCAGCTTCACCCGGACTGCTGCAAGAGGTAAAAACGTGTTGAAGAACACACAGTGACAGTTATGCTGTCTGTCTATTAGGGTATCAGACTCCAGATCCGGTAACAGATCAGAATTTACCCACAAATTGCAAGTCGGAAAAGCTCTGAGTGGAAAGAGGTAGAATGAGTGTCTCCAGCGTCTCTGTGCTGGTCTGAGACTGTGCAGCTCATCTCTCTGCCAGTAGGGCTCCTTAAACCTCTGCCGTTCTCCACAGCCACTGTCATTGTCAAGGCTAAGCTTCTGGGCATGTTGGTAGTGCAAGGAAACGTCTGCTAAGTATGATGGTGTGATGTTATTAATCGCAGGAACGGCTCCTCTCGATTTCTCTGTATAACAGAATGCGTGGGTCTTCAAAGAGCCTGCCTTTAAATTTTAAAAAATCCTGAGAGAATTCACACTTCAGTAAACACCTTGGTTTATCAGTTAACAGCTCAATGGGGATTCATTGAAAGCTTGCTGAGAGCAAAACACAGCTGGGAAGAGTACAGGAAAAGTTTTAAGTGGGAGGTAAGATATGGAAGGGGTAGTAGTAACCTGGCACAGTGTGAATGCAGAGGGGGGAAATTCACTGGCTGTGCTTCCGAACTTTGTTGAGAATCAGCATGGAAAAGTGGGAAAGCTAAAAAAGGAGAAATGAGAGTGGAGTTGGTATAGGCAGTCAGGCCTGCAGGAGCAGAGTGAAGACAATGGGCCAGACACAAACTCACTCGGGCCAAAAGCCTGAGCAAGGGGCCCAACTGGGAAAACAAGAACCTTGCTTCCAGGGTAACCTATCCTTCTCTGGCATATCCCTGGTCATGCAATTTTGACCCCCTGACCTTTCTTCTCCCCTCCCCAACACCCCCCAAAAAAGATAATATCTAGGCCTCAGTTATATTTCAGCTCCAGGCCCAGAAAAGCAGCAAAACCAAACAAGGGATGCCATGGCTGCCTCCAGAACAGCTGCATTGACTAGTGATCCCAGTCCTGGGGATGACCAATCAGTGGAGATCCATGGTCTCAAAGAGCACACCTGGAAAACTGATGAATATTCTATTGAGACCCTCCCGTGAGACCTCCCCTAAGATTTCAACCTGCAAGAGAGAGAAATACACTCAGGCTGAAGGACCCAGTGCACACCCTGTCCCAAAGGGGGGCATGCTACTCCATCCCCTCCCCCCTTCTTCCTCCTAAGGGATCCATAATACTTACAACTAGGGGAGCAATGGGCAGCCACAGCTCCTCCCAGTTAACCCTCTGGACTTGTCTCCAAGGCTCCCTTTCCTCTGACTTCTCAGTGAGCCAAAGCAGCCCGCCTAGGCTCTCCTGTCACTTCTATGCCCTTCCTTATTTCACTGTCCTATGTATATTTTTGCTGTGTCCTATGAATTCTTACTTACTTTGCCACACTTTTGTCTCTTGATTGAAATCTTTCCTTCAAGAAGACAAGAACTAAAGTCTCATTGTCACTGAAACCGGTTTGGCTCAGTGGATAGAGCTTCAGCCTGAAAGATCCCAGGTTCGATTCCAGTTAAGGGCATGTACCTTGGTTGCGGGCACATCCCCAGTAGGGTGTGTGCAAGAGGCAGCTGATCAATGATTCTCTCTCATCGATGTTTCTAACTCTATCCCTCTCTCTTCCCCTCTTGTAAAAAAAATCAATAAAATATATATTTTTAAAATAAAATAAAATAAAGTCTCATTGTCTCCCCAGTAACAGTGGTACCAGAAAAGTAAGTAGCAGGGCTAACCCTGGGTGTCCTTTCTGGTCATGTTTTACAAAATTGGATCTCACAGCAAGACACAGGTCTTCAGATTCCCAGATCCCTTTCTGTCACCTCATACCAGATAAGAGTTTATGTACAGTAAGAAAGGTCAAAATTAGGGCCACTCCAAGCTTTAACATTACCTCTAAATTCCTTTCTCTATCCTTTTAACTTTTCCTCCACTACATTTTAAGTAAATCAATCAACAAACATTGTTTATTGAATATGTGCAAGTTATTTTACTAGGAATCTATATTATAAAAAGCCTGTGGCTGTAATGCAGTAACATCAAAACGACCAAACAAATGGTCACCATGAGGTGCGCTGATGGGTCCTGGACTCTGGAGTCCTGTGGCACTGATCTATAAATTCTTACTTTGCAATGGGTAGGGCAGCAGGTGGGTGGGCCACCACCACAGGACTCCGTGGGTGGGGCCTCGCGATTTCGAGTGCTGGGCTTCTAGTATTTTTATATTAAACCCATTGTGTTCTAGGTTTCCTTACCCTCATTTTTAAATGTGTCGCAGTTCTAGAAACAGAAACACTAAATATATGGTGTTTGGTCCATTTCTATCACCCTTTGAGATTAGGTTCTAGGAAGACTGTAATAGAACTCCTTTTATTTAAACACACACACACACAGTTATCTTTTATAGGTTGCTTTCTTTTGCAACTACTGTAAAAATATGC